AATATGATTATGAATTGGGCTACTATATTGGAGCTACACTAAAAATGCCTTCGGTTACGCTGCTGAAAAATTTGTCCTTTGCTGCTTCCTTTGATACTGAAAATCTTACAGCTTCAGCAATAGGACAATGGAGTGCAAGCCAAGTGGTGAATATTTCTGCCAACTTTTTGCCAAGCAATCAGCTTATTAAAGTGGAGACACCATTTGAAGGTTTTGAGAAGATCATAGCATCAGGATCAATCAAGAATGAAGATACACAGTTTGAATTTATAGGGAAGTTGGAAGTGGGTAATGAAGAAAACTGTATTTATGTACATCACATTATTCAGAGTAGATTTATGCAGCATTCCTTAATCATTAATATACCAACATACGAGAAAACTAATTTCAACCTGACACTACAATTTGAAGACCCTAAGAACATGTCTGCAAAACTTTTATTTGGAAGCACAAACACAGAAAATATCATCAGTGCTGAAGGTACATTAAATTTAAAGGATATGTTCGCAGAACTTAATGTCCATCACCCATTGTTGGAAGGTGGTTTAACTTGTAAAACACTGTGGGATGTGAATGCCAATCTCCAAATTAAAACTAGTAGTTCTATATATACAATGAACAGCTCATACACCATCTCCAAAAATGATATTATTGTAAAGTGGAATGCACAAACACCTGAAATGCAATCCACCACAATTCTGGGTGGCTCCTATGAATATGATGACAAATCTGAACTGAAAACTAAACTATATTTCAATGAAGACAGCATCACATTTGGTTACAAAATCAATCATACATCATTGGCTGGAAATTTTAAACTTAACACTTCAACACTCCTCAAAATAAAATACTTTAGCTTGGACATTGAAGGTTCATATAGCCCTAATCTATATGGTTCAGTTTCCTATAAATACAATACAAGTTCTGGTGCTGTAGCCATTTTCCTAAGAAAAACAGAAGACACTGTAGATGTACAATGCATTGTCAATGTGCAACCATTACTTGGCCCTGTATATTATAAAGTTGGAATTACCTACAATCTGCAAGATTCACAGAAGATTTTTGAATGTAAATATGAGGGTGACACCGTTCATACTATTTTGGTGTTATATGAGAATGATAATGGCATCTTTAAAGTAATAACACATGTCAGCAGCAAGATTCTTGGCACCCAGAAAGCCCTGATATTAATGGAAAAGAGCTGGGCACATCTTGAAGTAATAGATGTACTTAATGTTACATTGATAACAGAGCAAAATGATGGTTATTTGACAGTCAGAGCTTCTGCTATGGAGCATAAAGTTTTGTATCACTTTACATCTGAAAATGGCTTTCATGGAAACCTTGCTTTGATGTCTCCACTAGTCTCAAATGGAAAAGTGAATGTGACAGCTACTGCTAAGCGTGATATTAAAAACATGTTTGTAGATTTGAAGTTTGTCACTGGAACAGAACATTATCATGCTACATTTAAACTTAACAATTCTGAGGAGAAAAAATCAATCATGGCAGAGATTACTGCTGCACTGAAGACAATCCTGAGTCTCAATGCTTCTATCATGGTGAACAGATATAGAATTCAAGCTGAAACCTCATTAAATTTCTTGGAAACTGTAAGCAGCATAGCTCTTAGGCATAAACAGATACTGCCATTGGATACTGAGCTAAATGTAATGAGTCCCTATCTCCCAAAGAAGACTGTTCAACTAATTCTGAAAACAGAGAATAATTCTGTAACCTTGTATGCTAGCCATGGTAATAAGTCATATGGAGAGTATATTATGCTGGAAGGAGCCATGAATCACAATGACTGCATGGTATACCTGAATTTTGAAGCACCAAAACTACCTCTTGTTCAGTATGTAGATGTGTGCGGAATATTCAAATTAGGTGGTGACAAGACATATGACTTGGGTTTATCTACTCAGTTCTCATCAGCAACATTGAAAACAGAGTTATCTGTAAAATTCCACTTATCTTCTGTTGGAACTGATACAGCTATTATATTTGTGCCCCCGTGGGAAGATACTGAGAACTATGGTGCTATGATTTTGATACCATTCAAGTTTAGTAACAGCATGAGACCTCGTATTATCCTAAACCTTGGGAATAATAACACATATTCCCTGCACGGAACATTTGTCAATCTGGAAGATGTCCAGCAAGTAGGATTTGGAGCTCAGTACAAACTCAGAAAATTGGGTGGAGATTTAAAAATTGAAAGAGCTCCTATTTCTTGTGTAAAAGTTGAAATAGACATTCCAGTAGGTGACAACATTGGTCATTATAGTGTGGACATAAAAGACCAGAATGGAGAAAGCGTGTTAGGTACTGAAAATGCACTAAATTACACTCACATCAACATTGAATGGGACAGCAACCAAATTGAGCTGAGGTATGGTCTGTCCTATACTGGAATTGATTCAGAAGGCCTTCTTGGTAGTGAAAGAAGTCTGGAATGCACTCTCCTTTTTCAACTCAATACTCCATTTTATGGATATGAACAAAATGGACTAAAGATGTATGTCAGTTTGACACCCTCACAAAGCCTGATCATCACCTCTCTTAACTACCCAGGGAATTCCAAGCCTTTTGGATTTGAACTGAATTATCATTTGAAAGATTATAATGAAGTAAGTCTTGTCAGCCAACTCCATATTCCATTTATAACTGTTCTGGAAGATGTTGCCTTGGTGCTGAGTAATAAATTTGAAGAAAAATATGGAATATTCAGGAGCGTTGTAGGAGGACACTGGAATAAAGAAGAGCTGGCCATCACCTTGGAAGGAAATTTAAAAGAAACAGTTTTCAAAGGCACAGTGATTCTTAATCTGATTGGGCAGACATACAGAATTAAAGCTAATTATGGGAATCCAAAGACAGACAAGCCAAAATCATTTGTCATAAGAGCACATCTCTCATCTCCACTCACAGTCCTAAAGAATGCTGAGGTGCATGTGGAGATACATGTAATGAAATCTGTTCTTGCAAGCATCATTCACAATTCGAAAGAAATCTTTGGCCTTCATATTCACAGTGATGAGGTCACATTGTTTGGAGCTGAAGTGAGGACACCTTGGAGGTCAGCTTATTTTGTGTGTTCTTGTGATATCAGCAGGGATATCAAAATACAAGGAGAACTGCTTTGGGATATGTATCCATCTGAAAGATCACAGTTTGGCATTATTTTTACAATTGTTCATGGCCCAGATGACAGAGAGGATATGTCAGCCACTTTAAAACTTGCTTCACGTGTTTTGATGCTTAATATAACCCGTCAGGTATCACTAGCACATATCGAACATGCAGGTAGTTTCTCATGGAAGAAAGACCAAATTGTTGGCTTCAGAACTCTTTTGAATACAAATTCTTCTTCTGATATCATTGCTTTTTCTACTATGGGTCGCATTGATCTTCCACGCAGGTCATTTGAACTAGGAAGCTATGCAAGTGTCAGGTTGGAAACTGGTGTTGTAAAATATGCAGATATAGGAACAGAATTTATGTGGGATGCTCTAGAAGACAGGAACAAGAAAATCGGTATTGCACTCAGACACTTCTCGCCAGTTCTGGAAATTGTATTACAGCATGCAGCCATGATGAATGATTTGGTTATTCGCATTGAAAAACATGGCAGATTATCATGTAATCATTTACCTTTTACTGTGAAAATTGAGGTTGAATATTCTCCATTGCCAGAGGAACTGATCACAATGGAAGCATATGTGCAAAATTCTACAAATACATCTGTAGGATTAAATATGGGATGTTCATTGTACCATATACCGACATCCACAGACCTAAAAATTAATGCAGAGGTAGCACAAACTTCAAGAGACAAAAGTGGCAGGATATCTGCAGAGTACTTGAACTCATATACGGGACAGAAACACAGGATAGAACTTATGGCAAAGATGGCTTTACTACAAAATGAAATTACAGTTGCAGTGAGAACAGCAGAGAATCAGCTTGAGGTTCACGGACTGATAATGAGTGGCAGTAATGGTCATTATGGTGCAATGATTGACCTTCTTATGAACCAGAAGGAACCAATGAGAGTGGAAGCTAGTATTCATATAATGGAACCAAGGGCAGAACTGGAGGTCCGCTATGGAAGTAGTCGCAGTTACAAGATGTAT